GGTTTTCCTTTCCAGCGTGCCATTAAAGGAAAGGAGGAGGTATGAGGAGCCCAGATGCCAGGGGGATGGGCACAGAGAGAGAGAGATGGGCCTCATCTGTAAAATGTGAGACTGTTTCTCACTCCTCAGGGGTAAGAGGGCCCAGAGACTTCAATCTCACAATTGACATGCGCCGGCTCTGAACTGTGGGTTATAGAGATGACGCGTCCAGGTGCATGGGGCTTGCAGGGAGCATCAACAACGCTCTCGGTTAGTACCTGCCCACCCGTCTTGACGACTGCCCGGCCCCTTTCTAGCAGGAATCATCCATAACAAAGCGGCTGGACGAGGATTCTCATGCTGTGTCTTTCCCCTGTTTACCCCCCACCCCTGCCATGGGCTGCCTGGCCCCTCCCGTTCTGCCTTGCCGTGTTTGATTTCCTCATGGCGTCTGTTCCGAGTCCCTCCCAGCGCCTCTGGCACTGGGCACAGCCCATGAGCATGATCTGAACTCCTGCCCCTAAGGCCTGGGCTCCCGGCCTCGTCTGTGAAGGTCTCGGGGAGGGGAGTAGATATTCAGGAGAATGATCGGCCGTTTGGCTCTGGGAAGAGCTAGGAACAGGTGTCCTTCCTCGAATCGCCACCGTCCATGGAACTAACCCCGTGTTCCCTGTGAGCTGGGCGCTTGGGCGGCCTCCCAGGAGAGATTCCAGTGCTGCCCGGCTGATAAGCAGAGCACCCACAGCTAGGTTTTGTGTTTCTGCTGGTGGTGCACATTTGTACATGCCTTGGTGCATATAAAATTTATTCTGCATGTACCTGCCAGTGAGCAAATTTGGACCTGGGACCTCTGGAGCTTAGTGAAGGAGCCTCTACAGCGGACCTGGGCAAAATATGGCCCGTGGGCCAGATCTGGCCTGCCAAGCCCCCAGATCCGGCCCACGGAAGCAGCAGGGACCCCCAGGCAGGCTCCCCAGTTTGCCCCGCAGTCCCATGCGCCCAGCAGAAATGCAGCTGCAGGGCTCCTGGCGGGGAGGGGTGAAGTTTTAAGAGCCACCCCGCTCCCCCAACACATATCCATTGGCCAGCTTCTGGCAGAAACCAGCCAGTGCGAGCTGCTTGTTGGAGTAACAGGCAGCTATGAAGAACCACACCCCCTCTCTTGGCTCAGTTATTCATGAAGCACATGGCCAGGCAGCTAGTTTGGCAGCTGGCAAGTAAGTCTCTTGGCCACAGCCTGCTTGGCCTTTCCTGCCCCAACTCTCTGTCCCCCCACAACATACCCAAACCCTCTGGCGCCCTCTTACACCCATACCCCCTCCCAGCTCTGGCACCCCAGTCTCCTGCCCCAGATCACAATCCCTTCCCGCCCTAGGTCACAGTCATCTGCTTCACCCCAACTCCCTCCCAGACTCCAGTCTCCCTCCTGCACCCCAATCCCTTACCCCACGCTCCCTTCTGCACCCAACCGCCATCCCAGACCCCCCACCTCCATTCATACGGGAGAGCGCGGCCCTCGACCACGATCCAGAATCTTGGAGTGGCCGCCTGTCAAAAATCATAGCCTACCCCTGCTCTACAGCTTGAGCTATAAATCCAGCTGGCGCTCAGCCCCACCTGGAGAGCTCTCTTGGGCTTCTCTGGGGCTGTACGTGGTCATAGTGCCACCCTAGGTGCGTGGGTTCCATGCGCATGGACAGAGAAAATCCACACATGGACGAAGATGAGAGGGAACGTTGCCTGGGGGGGGCCTGGGACAATCCCCCAGCCCTGGAGCACCAGGTGCAGGGCCCTGGACAATCCCCCACCACGTGACCAGCCCCTGCGCCAGAAGCCCCCTCCCCTGAGCAATGTGAGGCGGGAGATTACTGGGGACCTGGCGTGGGGCTGCAGGTTTTGCTCCCCCCTGTTTGACAGAGCCAGGGCAACCTGACACTCTGCCCCGCCCCACTGCACTCGGCGTCACCATAGCGGAGGGGGAGCAGAACCCAGGGGGCTGAGAGGAGGGCAGGGGCGGGGCATGGGGGCCTCCCAAAGCACAGGGCCTAGGCAGACGCCCCAATCCGTCCTATGCCTGGGATGGCTCTAGCCCTGGGTTTGTATTGTGCTGCGCCTCGGGGGCCGCCTCCAGGTGAGCCAGGGGCCGTATCCAGCCTCCCGGTCCTGAGGTCTCCCACCCCTGCTATAGGCGAGCTAGGCAGTCGCCTAGGGCACAAGGCGTCGTGGCCACGTCAGAAGCCGAGGAATTTATTTCATAGGGAGCGTGGCTGCGTGTGTAAAGACAGTTAACACGTGGCCCAGCAGAGCTTCACAGGCGCGTTACACACCAGTCGTTCTCCGTAGCCCAGGGTGTGTCTAGACTACAGGGTTTTGTCGACAAAACTAGATCTGTGTCTACACTACTGCCGAGTTCTGTCGACGTAATGTCAACAGAATGTAGCAGTTTTGTCAACGGCGGTAAACCGCATTCTATGAGGAATAACGCTGTTTGTCAACAGAGTTCTGTCGCCAGAAGGCGTTATTGCATCTACACTGTCCTTTGCGTGTACACTTTCATGTTGACAAAGCGCTGTGCTTTTTCGCCAGACCTGGATGTCGTCTAGACGCTCTTTGTCTCCAGAACTGGATGTCGTCTAGACGCTCTTTGTCTCCAGACCTGGATGTCGTCTAGACGCTCTTTGTCTCCAGACCTGGATGTCGTCTAGACGCTCTTTGTCTCCAGACCTGGATGTCGTCTAGACGCTCTTTGTCTCCAGACCTGGATGTCGTCTAGACGCTCTTTGTCTCCAGACCTGGATGTCGTCTAGACGCTCTTTGTCTCCAGACCTGGATGTCGTCTAGACGCTCTTTGTCTCCAGACCTGGATGTCGTCTAGACGCTCTTTGTCTCCAGACCTGGATGTCGTCTAGACGCTCTTTGTCTCCAGACCTGGATGTCGTCTAGACGCTCTTTGTCTCCAGACCTGGATGTCGTCTAGACGCTCTTTGTCTCCAGACCTGGATGTCGTCTAGACGCTCTTTGTCTCCAGACCTGGATGTCGTCTAGACGCTCTTTGTCTCCAGACCTGGATGTCGTCTAGACGCTCTTTGTCTCCAGACCTGGATGTCGTCTAGACGCTCTTTGTCTCCAGACCTGGATGTCGTCTAGACGCTCTTTGTCTCCAGACCTGGATGTCGTCTAGACGCTCTTTGTCTCCAGACCTGGATGTCGTCTAGACGCTCTTTGTCTCCAGACCTGGATGTCGTCTAGACGCTCTTTGTCTCCAGACCTGGATGTCGTCTAGACGCTCTTTGTCTCCAGACCTGGATGTCGTCTAGACGCTCTTTGTCTCCAGACCTGGATGTCGTCTAGACGCTCTTCCCCGTTCTGCCGCGTGACGAGCCATGATCCCGGAGACACTGAGCCCATGAAGCATTTGTCTTGTGTTGGGCTGGAAACGTTTGGGGAGAGGTTTTAGCAGTGTTGTAAGA